AGCTGAGTGGGGGGACACAGGCAGGGCAGGGCGGCTGCCAACCAGGATTGCCTGGTCCAGACGTGCTGCTGGGAAGTGATTACACAGCAGGGAGGGAGCGACCAGGGACAGGGCTCGGGGGGGCTGTGACCCCAGGCCCAGCCAGCGAGAGGGAGCAGGTCCCACTCCCTTCCCCAGCAGCTGAATTCCCGACCGAGCTGCGGAAGGATCCCTCCTTGGAGAAGCTGAGGGAACTTGCTGGCCACAGCGCTGCAAACCCCTTTGGGGACGGCTGCAGGGACAGAGTCCGGTGGGAGAAGGGATTCCTGTACCGGGAATGGGCTCCCCAAGGGGAAGTAGAACTGGGGGGAATCGGGAGGCAGCTGGTGGTGCCCCAGGAATCCACAGGGTTCTTCCCGTTCGAGCTGTTGTATGGGAGGAGAGTGAGGGGACCCCTGGACCCGGAAGGGGAGGATTGGGAGGAGAAGGGGGAACACCCCCCTGGTGGATCTCTTCCCTGAGGTGGGAGCCAATCTCCCCATCAGGTGTTCCCCGTTCAGAGTCACTGGGGAAGTAGCCCAGAGCCTGGAGAGAGGTCAAGGACATGCTGGCTTTAGATGGGATCCAGCCGTTCAACAGCCCATGGGCCTCACCCGTGGGGCTGGTCCCCAAGGGAGACGGGATGATCTGGTTCTGTGGGGACTATCGGAAGCTTAAAGCCATCACCGTGTCCGATGCCTGCCCCACGCCTAGGCCTGGGGAGATTCTAGACAAGCTGAGGGGGATGGAGAACTTGGCCCTGGTGTACATCGATGACGTGTGTGTCTTTAGCCAGACCGGGGAGGGACGTGTGTCCCAGGTGAAGAGGGGGCTGGGCTGCCTCAAGGAGGTGGGACTGACGGTAAAAGCTGGAAAGTGTAAGGTGGGGACGACAGAGCTGTTGTATCTGGGCCACAAGGTGGGGAGCGGCTGCCCCAGCCCAGAGCTGGCCAAGGTCAAGATAGGGGCTCTTAACCAAGAGAGCCCGAATCGCAGCCTCCAGACCAAAGTGCTGGGAGAAGACCCAGTCCCATTTGAACCCCAGGGCTATTGGGGTGGAAAAAGGGCACAGGCCGCATAAACCTTCCCACATGCGGCCTGCGAGAGCCATCAAGCGCACTCGAACTAAGGGAGGGCACGAAACTGGAAGGGCCTGGTGTAACTCTCACCAAGGAATGGGAGAGATGCTGGGGCATCCATGGGAATGTTGGTGGGTTCGAACTTCCCCGGGTCACTGGCTAAAGTGCCCTGCTCAGTTCGGTCTCGAAGGGGGGAGAGATGTGACGAAGTGGGACTGTTCTTAATGTTTTCCTCAGTTTCCCCTATGCAGTTCTTAAGTATCTAGGTGGTGGGATAAGGGTGTCTGGTTGCTGCAGAGCAAAGGGCCAGGGCACATAAATGCCCGACACTCTGTCTCCTGGCAACTGATGGCCTGGGCCCCTCCTCTGCAAAGGTGCCAACTGAAGGTGTTGGAGACAAAGGGGTCAGGTGACCTCCTGGCCCGGGAAAGAGACAAAGCCCAGAGAAGGAGGGGCTGGACGGGGGGTGGGAGTTTGGAGCTAGCTGGGGACTGGAAGGGAGGGCGGACGTGGGTTTGCCTCGCTGGGCCCCAGAATGGACCCGGCAGAGGGGTCCTGTTCGCTGGACCTACAAGCTCTGTTTTAGACCATGTTCCCGTCGTCTAATAAACCTCTGTTTTACTGGCTGGCTGAGAGTCACGTCTGACTGCGAAGTGGGGGGTGCAGGACCCTCTGGCTTCCCCAGGACCCCGCCTGGGCGGACTCGCTGTGGGAAGCGCACGGAGGGGCATATGCTGAATGCTCCCAGGAGAGACCCAGGAGGTGAAGCCGTGTGAGCTCCTTGCCCTGAAGACAGTCTGCTCCGAGGGAGAGGAGGCTCCCCAAAGCATCGCCCGGGGACTCTGTGACACCGTGACACCCCGCGCCTCTGAATTTTTCTTCTATTCTTTATCTCCTGCTAAAAATGTCCCTGGTTTGGTCTAAGCCAGACCTGGAAATCGTGCAAGGCCGAGCGAGTGATCTGCAGGTTCCCCGTTTGCAGCCCGGAGAGCACCCTGGGGAAAGGATCACGAAGGAGACGCAGCAGATGGCAAATCAGTTGTGAGACGTTGGCGCCTGTTTGGTTCTGTTCAGGGTTGTTGATTAGTTTTTCTCTCTCTCTGTATTTTCTTCTAAAAAATTCAGAGAAAGTTTGTGGGAAAGAAATCTCCACCCCGGTCTGGGTCTCCCAGTTTTGGTTCCCGCTGGGGAAGAGGGTGGCTAGTTCCCGGAGGGCTCGTTAGGAGCCACACCTGGGCTGGATCAGTTAATTCCCTAGCGAGGCCAGCGAGGGCGGGAGCTGAGGAGACTTCAGGGAACAAGGTAAGTCCTGACACGGTTGAGGAGCTGGGCCGGGGAGAGACCCTGACCCAGCCAGGGTGGACACGGGGCAAGCCGCTGCTTGGGGACCCCATGAAGCCAGGCCTGGGAAGATGTGGGGGTCGCGGGCAGGTTGGGGCCCAGAGGGGGGAGGAACCTGGGGGGGCTGGAGGAGTGGGGAGCACGGGGTGCCGGGGGACGAGATGTCATGGGGGGGGGTTAAAGACTGCATTGGGGTGGGGTGGGGGGTTGTTCTAGATTATTTTGCCCTCTGGCTTGGTAACAAGCCGGCTCTGGGCACACACACACACCCCGCCATGCCTGCCCTCTCAAGGAGGGGTCCTGTCAGACAAGGGAGCCATTCTGGGAAACTGAGGCAGGCTGCCCGGTTGAACCCCAGCTGGACACTGGCGGGACACCCCCTCTCTTCCCCCCCCGCCAGGGAGTTGTGTTTGGGTCCGGAGCACCAGCAGGAGCAGTAGGGGTGGGGTGCTACAGTGCCCCCCAAAGGACTGGCTGAGAGACGGCCTGATGTGGGGGTCCCCCCACACTGGGCCGTTGATGGCAGAGGGTCTGGGGGCGCTGAGCGGGTTCCCCTGCCTGGCTCCCCCTCTACCAACCCCAAATCCTCCCCCCACATGACACAGGAACCCCAATGAACCCCGGATCCCTCCACTTCCCCAGGGTGCACTGGGCCTGCCCCCCCCCAGGCCGGATCCCCCCCCCAATAAAGACACGAGGTGGCTGGGAAGAGGCCCTGGGCCAGGTTTAATGGGCGGGCGCCCCCGGGGGGGGCCCTAGGGTGGGCAGCAGAAGAAACGGGCATCGTTGAGGGCCGTGTTATCCCCCCGCTTGCCCCCCGGCTCCTCCACCCGGGTTTGGAGGCCGCAGATGGACCCGGAGAGGCAGGGGTGGCTCCAGGGCCCCTCCTGGTCCCGGCGTCCCCAGCGTCGCCGGCCAGCAGCTCCCTGTCGGAGCAGGCCATGCGCAGGCCGGTGGCGGCCACGTCGTCCCCGGCGTCCTGCTGCGGATGCACCCCCAGCGAGACGGCGCGAAGGTAGCCCCGGGGGCAGTACCGGGCACCCTGCCACCTGCCCCACCTGAGCCAGGGGAGGAGAGGAGGGGTTAGACCCGTCTGTACATCCGTCCCTCCACCCATCTACCCACCAGTCCATCCACCCGTCCATCCATCCATCCATCCCTCCACCTGTCCGTCCATCTATCCACCCACCTACCCACCCGTCCATCCGTCCCTCCACCCATCCGTCCATCCACCTACCCACCTGTCCATCCATCTGTCCACCCGTCCATCCATCTATCCACCCAGCTACCCACCCATCCATCCGTCCCTCCACCCATCCGTCCACCTGTCCGTCCATCCACACACCCGTCTGCCCATCTATCTTCCCACCTACCCACCCACCTGTCCATCCATCCATCCATCCACCTGTCCTTCCACACACCTACCCATCCGTCCATCTGTCCATCCTCCCGTCCATCCGTCCATCTGTCCATACCTCCACCCGTCCCTCCACCTACCCATCTACTCACCCACCTACCCACCCATCCATCCATCCATCCACCCGTCCACCCGTCCATCTCTCCATCCTCCCGTCCATCCGTCCATACCTCCACCCGTCCCTCCACCTACCCATATACTTACCCACCCATCCATCCATCCCTCCACCCGTCCACCCATCCCTCCACTCATCTATCCACCCACCTACCCACCTGTCCACCCACCTGCCCACCCATCCGTCCACCTATCCACCCACCACTCTATCCCAACTAACCCTCCCTCCCTCCATCCTCCCACCCCCACTACCCACCCAGTCCTCTACCCCCTCACCCCCCATCTGTCTATACATCCCTCCCCCATCCACCCATCCCTTCCTCCCCCCACGCCCCCATGTCCGTCCCCACACCCCCATCTGTTCCTCCCTCCCTCTCCAGATGGGGGTTTCCTGGGGGGGGGGCTCAGACAGGGCCCAGCCCTTGGGGCTGACACAAGGTGGGCTGGGCCCATGGCTGCCGTGAGGGACCCAGGCATCCGGTACTCACGCTCCCACGCTGGACTGGACGGTGGCACCGTTGGAGCAGTGCAAACGGATCCCATTCAACCCCGTGTCGTCCTCCCCTGGCGCGTCACCCTGGTAGGGGTGCACCTGGGGGGGACAGAGACAGAGTGAGGTGGGGGGGCTGAGGGTCAAAGAGAGAGCAGAGAGAGGGTGTTGGGGGGGAGGAGGAAAATGGGGGGAGAAGATAAGGTGGCTCTTGGGGGAGGGGAAAAGGGTCAGGGGGAAGGGGATGTAAAGGGGGCTGATGGGGGGCAGGGGAATAAGGGGGCTCTTGGGGGCAGGGGGAAAAGTGGAAGAGGGGGAAGGGATATAAAGGGGGGTGTATAAGTGGGGAAGGTAAAAAGGGGCAGAGGGGGGAAGGGATATAAAGGGGGGTATATAAGTGGGGAGAGGTAAAAAGGGGCAGAGGGGGAAGGGATATAAAGGGGGGTATATAAGTGGGGAGAGGGTCTGCTACCTTCAAGGCAAAGCCGTTGGCATAGCTGCCCTCGGGGCACATCTCCACAGGCCCCCACGCCCCCCACGGGGCCCCGTTGGGCACCACGATGACCTGGTTGTAGGGCCGGGAGGGGGGCGCCTTGGCCTGGCCCCCCAGCACGGCCCCTGGGGCCAGCAGCAGGCAGAGCAGGGCGCCGAGCTGCATCGCGGCCGGACTCAGGGTCTGCGGCCTGGGCCCCGAGGGGGCATTTGTACCCGGCTTGTCCCTGGGCCGACGCCAATGCAAATGGGGCCTTATCTCCCCAAGGCAGGGTCACCGTGACCCGGGCCGGCCTGTCCCCCACACCCCCTTTGCACTATGGACCCGATGTCCCCACTGCCCCTCACTCCCGACCCGCAGCCCCCTAGCCCTGCCGGTGCCCCTCCCTCCCAACCCGCAGCCCCTGCCAGCCCAGCCCTGCCCCCCCCCGAGCTCTGCCGGTGCCCCTCACTCCCGACCCGCAGCCCCTGCCAGCCCAGCCCTACACCCCCAGCTCTGCCGGTG